TAGGGAGTACAGTGGGGGTGGACAGGAAACTCAAAACCCTTTTACTGCCCTTTTCCCTGGTTCTCTACTAGATTCACTGCAGCCTGTAGCCTATCTCCCCCACTGCTAATGTCTCTCTCTCTCTCTCTCTCTCTCTCTCCAACACACACACACACACACACACACACGTAGGTCTATATACAGTGAGACATAACACCCCCTGTATGTAACACATTCGTTGATACACTGGGCTCAGTGTTACCACATTGTCCTGACCTCTCTTTATTTACGGTTTTCACTTGCCCCCGCCCCGTTCCACCCCCTGCCCCCCCGGTCCCCTCCACTCACTGTTAATTTATTTTACAACCAATAACTATCACCCAGTGTGATGAAACAGTGACTGATAAATTCATGATAAAAAAACTGTTGTGTAACCCAAAGAAATGTACTGAACTGACCGAGGTCTGTAGGACGTGCTGTACAAAATGTTGGACGACGCCTACTTTTTTACAAACGGACGACACTTCAGTTGTTTGTATATTTTTTTACAGTGAGAGTCGGATCAGTCCTGTAGAAATGTCGCTGCTGCAGTCCAGAGACAGAGGAACATAATAACTGGGGGGGACAGGGCGGTGGCGAAGGGGGTTAAAGTCTCTCAGCTTATCTCAAGGTGTGGCTCTCCAAAGTTTCTTCCTCTGCAGCTTTATTACCTTGGAATCAAACAGTAGTTGGGCGGAGGTCGGGAGGAGGAAGAGGACGAAGATGAGGTGAAGAAGGAAGGTCGTTGTTTGACCGCGGTCTGACAAATCTCACTAAATCTGCTTTGCTGTCTGTGGTTTTACCAGCTGCTGCTGAGGTTGGCTGGTTATTTCCCATGCACCCGTTTCCTGCCTCTGAATTACAGACACACACACAAACACTTTTTTTGGATTACACAGGATTGAGTCAAACAGTGCTGACACTTCCTGTACAAACTTACAGTCTTATGATGGGGTATGACCGTTTAAGTTGCCTTACCGCCACCTACTGGCTCCAATTTTTACACTCTAAAACATCAGGATTATTTGCAAAAAGAAATGAAGAACATAACAAAAATCCAGACTCTTTAAAATGATGAGGGAATCAGTTTTTCATAGTTTTTTACGGTTTATTTTTTTTAAGAACGTTCTTCCCTCCAGGCTTTAACTACAAAAACAGTCAAATCCGTCCCAGACTGAACTACATACTGTCAACAGGACGCTCCATCACAGTTTCTATATGTAATCCAGACTGTTTAACCTACGGAAGTGCTGTGCATCAATTGTGTTTGTGCTGTGTTATCAGTGCAGGCGACTCCTCCCTGCAGTTTGCAGCTTTATTGAACTCTTTATCTAATCGGTTGGTCTGGACCTTGAAACTATAGGCCCAGCTCTGCTCTGCCACATTCCTGTGAAACTCAAAAAAAAAAGAAAGAAGAAGGGGCGAGAGGAGGGGGGTAAAAGAGATGAGAAAAAAAACAGAAATGAAAGAGGAGTTGAAGGGGAAGGGGAACAGACACAAATAGGTTTTTTTAGTAGTAAGCAAGATGCATCAGAGTTCATGAGGGCAAAGTGGATGGAGGAGAGTCGGTGAGAGGAGAAGGGGAGGAGATCTAAAAGAGAACTAGTGCTAATAGGGGAAAAAAAGGGAGGGCACAGCTCAGGATGTGATGACAAGGAAGTGATGAAGGTGTGAAAGAGGAGGAAACAAAGAAACTGTTGTGTCTGAAGAAGAGAAATGTTCCTCTGTCATGGCATGACAAGCAGCAACAAAACAAGGCCAATAGAAATACAAAACATTCTGTCTTTATTTTGTTTTATTGTATCTCTTTCTGACATTCGCACTAACATGGAGGACGTTCTGTGTGACTCATCCACACGCCTTCTGACTTTGTGAATTTGGAAATATATTCCAATCCAGTAGTAATAGTTGTCGCCAAAAAGTGGGGGGAAAATGCTGTTTAAAGCAACTTTATATAATTGAAAACCCAATATTTAATAGAAGACTGACATTTCCACATGTACGGTGTGATTCTTCTCACAACAAGTGAAACTCTGCTACTGACTGCATTTTCACAGCCATCACCAAGGGAGAGGAGTGTGAACCAAGGAGTTGACAGCTGAACAGATCGACAAGAAATTGGTCGAGACAGTTAAAATCTGTTGAGCAGAGGATGGATAAGTGAGAAGAAGAGGAAGTTGGAGGAAGGGGAGGAAGGGGAGAGAGAAACAGGGGTGAGGTGGGATGCAAATGAGTGAAGACTAAGATAAAAGTGAAGAAATGTAATAACAGTTACCTTTGTCATGAAACATCATCATTCCCAGGTTAATAACAGTTACCTTTGTTTGTCATGAAACATCATCATTCCCAGGCTCGTTTTAAATTTCTTAACTTTCAGCTTCTTTGGGCACAACTATTTTTAGCCAAACTACATTTCTATGTCCGGTCCATCAACCTCCACCATAACAGAACAAAACAAAACAAAAAATCCCATGTAGTTTTTTAAGAAATCCATTAATCGTTCTCCTCTTCAAAGAACGAGTTGTTTCCACTTCACTTTGATTGTAAGGTTGAATTTTTACTAAAATGGAAAAAATGCACTACGTCAACTTTGAAAAACAGGGGGGAAGAAAAGAAAAAAAAACCCTGAAGGCCTCTAGAGCCAAGTCATGGCGTCACATGACATTAAAAGATCATGATGTCCTTGAGAAGCCTATTTAACCTTTGGTTTTTACAGTGCAGCTGCAGAGAAGAACAGAGATGTCGCCTGTGCTCTTCATCATAAGTTCATCATAAGAACCTAAATGTGTAAAACTTGATTTAACATCTTTAAAAAAAAATTAGATTTTATATTTTACTGGAATTGAGTGATTCCACTGGGTTTACAGCAGGTAACAGATATAATGGCAGCTGTTGATGTCATTTAGAAATCTGTGCTGCAGCACACACACATACGCACACAGGCTTTCTTGTGTAACTGTTGGTCGGTTTCACATCTGACAACCCGCCCCCCCCCCGGTTCCTCTCTCCCTTTCTTTCTCTCTCTCTCACCCTCCCTTTGGGTCTTAGGAATGCATTGAATGTCCTTATCTTTTGCCCATGCAAACAGAAGGGTGAGCCAGCAGCAGAGGTTGAATTCCTCTGCAGATCCCAGGCAGACAGACCCATACCACACACTGGCATCAAGGCAGCCTCCCCCGTGAGAACTCCCTGATCGAGCCCAGCCCAGTTAACCTGTCCACTGCTGCATATATACGTTTGCTTTACATCGTAACATTTATATGTTACAGAAAATATTTACCTCACATCTTTAAAGTTTGGAAATACCTTGTAAAAAGCTCTTTCATTCTTTACTGTATGATGGGGGGGGGCAGTTGTGGCTTGGTGGTTAAGGAAGTGGACTTGGGTCTGGAAGGTTTCAGGTTCGAATCCTCTTTTTTTTCCCCCCCTCATATAAACTGAATATATTTTGATTCAGTTCATGAGGCTGTTTGGCACAATTTCATTCAGTACTTTCAGTATTTTGCAACTTACTTCCTACTTGTGGTTGGCCCACAGAGGTATGTCCATCTGGACTCAGCCTGGTCCCCCTCCCCTCCTGCCCCCAGGGATGACCACAGAGGTGGCCCTTCCTAGTCCGACCCCTGGACTTCCTGGTCAAACTAAGCCCAGATGTTCCTGTTCATTATTCAGCCACCTGTTTATGATGCTCCAGTGTGTGCTGTTCCTGCCTTGATCAAACATCCTGCTATTATGTGCGTGGAGCTGTTTGTGGGGCATCTTTGCACCTGGAGTCCTGTCCTGCACCCAGAATCCTTTGCTGGACCTTCTCCGCTCACCCCTCTCTTCTTGTTGTGTTGAGATTCAATTAGTTCATTTTTTACAGTGGCTAATTTGCAGTTGAGTTTTGTTTTTTTTTTCAGTTTTCTGGGGTGTTAGTTTTGTAAACATTTTTGATTTTAAGTCCCTTCAGTTATGTTCACATTTGGAAGATATGTGAGAAAAGTCAGTCTTAGCAAACAATAGCTACATCTGGAGATGTCCTGACCTTGATAACGTCTCCTGATCGATCATCCCCAGCTGCAGACAGCGTTCCGGCTTCTCAATGCACACATCATTCATTGATACCTCCGCACAATTCAGTCTCACAGGGCAACACATGTGACAGTGTGATGGCCTGTGAGGCTGCTGTCCTACAGACTGACTCATGTATGAGTCTGCATGACATGACCATAAAGATACACAGGCACAAATAAGACAAAGGTCTCTGTGTTAGGAATACCACAGTGAACATCGACACACACACATGCACACGGTAGCACATCTGCACTTTCACAGTCCAAGCTAAAAATGACCTCTTCAACATTAGTTGCCAGTTAGGGTTAACCATGAATTATCAATTCATATATTTTTTTTTTGTATTTGAACAGAGGTTTAATTCTACTTCATTAGGGAAAAAGAGTCCAGTTCTTGTCAGTAGATTTCAGATGTCGTATTTTATTTCTTAAATGTGCAGCTGGCTCCAGTTTGCCCTTGTTTATAACAGTGTGTAAATATTACTGTGAAGTGCTAACCTCATCGGGTGTGTTTGTTAACCAGATTTAAACACACACACAAAAGTTTGTGGGTTTTTTTTTTAAAGGTCATTTTTTTGGCCTTTCATTGTTTACACAGACTAAAGAAAACGTCTCAACAACTGTGAGGATTTTTTTTTATATAAATATTACAGATTCAAAGAGTGAAATACCACAAACAAGTAGGTTAAACCGACATTTATTTCTCATTACATCAATGATTTTCAAATGTGGTGAAATATCTGTCCTTAATTTGTACGTTTACTCAGTGTCTCAACATCTAATAGACTTTGCTTGATTTTTCTGATGTGTTCCTGAAGTTACGTCTATTATTCGGACTCTTGCTGTAACACATTGTGATGTCTGTGTTAAGATTGAGGACAACATGATCTGATTAGTAAAGAAATTATTCTGTGCTGTTCATTAATTTTGTTAGATATTGGTCACATATGTGCAAAAAAACCCCAAAGTGTCCTTTTACCCTCCGTTTAACAGCAGACATTGACTCCGCTGACTTTACTCACTTCCTCTTTCCTCCACCACATCTGGGGTGAGCCACGAGCCACAACAATAGTTATTCAGGACACAGTTACATCCATACCACAAGATCTTGATGACATCACTTCCCCTTCAATCTGTGATCCAGAACATACAGCACCTGCCTGCAACTGCTGGGAAAAAAAATTCTATTTTTGCTTTACTATGTTTATATATATATATATATTTGTCTTAATGAAAACCAGCAGGTTGCAAAAGCGTGGCCTGCTGAGGATGTTGTAAGAAAATACCAGTCACAAACACACATCCTTCGTGTTCTTCCTTTCTTCGTCGTGCACTTCTCGTTTTAAATCTTGAGCTACAGCTCAGTCAGCACATCTGATCAGCGGCTGTGGAGAAGTGAGCGCTCTGAAATGGAAACGCAAACATCTTGACACGTTCCGCTGTGGTGGAGTCAGAAAATACTTTAATCTGCCATCAGCGTTCTCCTCTCAAACTGCTGCTTTTCTAAGTTAGATCATGACTAAGTATATAGTATATCATAAGCAAATATTTTCAGATAATGATGTTTGTCTTTACAGTTAAACACTTCCAACAACAGTATGAAAGTTTGATAATATTTTACTGCACATTCTCACCTTAAAAAGTCTAATAATAAGAACAAAGAAAATTCAGAACTGCTGCTTCTGCTGCGCTACTTAGATTAATCTCCGGACTTGGCTAAGCTACGTTCATTCTTTTCTTTGCCACCGGTAAACATTTCCATAAAGAAAAAGGAAAATAAAAAATGGAAGGAACTCCACACTCCACACTACCTTTTGATTTCTCTTTTTTATTATTTTTTTATCTGCCTGATAATTGTATTGTCATATGTTTTTTTTTTTTTTCTTCCTTCAGGTCCCTTAACGCCCAGAAGGCTGGATACAAAGCAGCCATTGTTCACAACGTGGACTCTGACGACCTAATTAGCATGGCATCCAGTGATAGTAAGTCACTATGGTTTTTCTCTTCATGCTTCTCCCTCAGAAAGGAGGATCTTTTTGTCTGTGTCGTCACATTACTCATCTCAGGATGTAGTACGCGAGGAAGGATGTGGTGCCCTGCGGCAGCGCACCGTCCCCTGTGTATGAATCAGTTGTGTCACGGTTACGTGCCAATTTTTGTGACATGATGGTGTTGGGGTTTTCCTTTCACTTTTGTAAGATGTAGTTTCTTTCTTCTTTTTTTTAATTGATACAGTAAATTCTCTGTGTGTTGAAAAAGCAAATCTGATCAGAGAAAAGAGAGAAATTAAACAGCCGAAGTGGAGAATGTGTCACTAAAGTTTTCTAAAAAAAAAAAAAGAAAAGAACTGGGGATTAAAACACTTCCAATCTGAGAGGAATATACCGGCAGAAGAAGATGAATTTTTCACAAAAAGTGATTCATCAAGTGTGCAGATAATTCCAATCTGAGAGAAATACCTGCAGAAGAAGATGAATTTTTCACAAAAGTGATTCATCAAGTGTGCAGATAGAAGTTATTCAAATAAAGACAAAAGACGTCACCTTTTATTTTTCTCTAATGGTGGGGTATTTTTCATGCCAGGTTGAAACAGTAAAGTCTGAGACTGCTCAGTAATTCAGTTTATTGATATCCAATCACGTAAAGTTCTCTATGAATATACTTTTTTTTTTCCTGCTGTAGTGGAAGTCATGAAGCAGATCGATATTCCCTCTGTGTTCGTGGGTGAGGACACATCCAACTCTCTGAAAGAGGAATACGCATATGACAAAGGGTAAGACTTTTTTTCTTCTGAGTCAGAATACAAGGAAACCATTTTTCTTGTCCTCTCTTCTCATAATTATAATGTCAACGGAGGAGGAGATGGCTGCTTTTGTTCTGCCTGCTCACCATTAAATTCCAGTCCTCTCGGTCCATCTGTGTATAGAGAATATAATTCAGTCACAGTCATGGTTGTTAGTCAGGTCTTAGAACGGGCCTTGTGACCCACACACAGTTGTTTTTTTTTAGAAATTCGTGCATTAATTATCCTGCTGGTAACAACACCTCAGCTGAGCCGATTAGCCATTAGTCATAAACAGACTTTAGTTTTCAGGTCGGTCTGAACAGGAACAGCAGCTGCACCAGAGCTGTAATGATGTAGCTTAGCTACTGGGAAGTGATGTCATCAAACGCTCAGAGTTCCAGTGAAAACAACAAATGGGTTTTAACCTGAACTCTACCACAGAAATGAATGAGTGCTGTGAGGTCTGTGTGAACTGCTCTGTAGATGACAAATTAAACTGCTGGTGGCGCTGTGTTCATGTGTTTTAGAGGACATGTGGTTCTTATGCCAGACTTCAGCCTACCTCTGGAGTACTACCTGATCCCCTTCCTCATCATCGCAGGAATCTGCCTCATCCTCATCGTTGTCTTCATGGTGGGTACGGCTAACAGCCTCCGTTCAACAAACATATTCACACCAGAGCTTCACATACTGTGGGTCTACAGTACATGTGAACCTTATGCCAAAAATTCCTTGGAGATTGTGTTTATTTGAACAAAGCTTAGTTTTGGATTAAATGATCAGCTGATGGAATTTTGTGAGGCCAGAGTCTGGTTCATTTTAGGGAGTGTAAACGCAGCGGGAACACCTGCAGGAATTTTAATTGTATCTGACACAAACCTGGGTTCATAGAGAGAAACTGAGGTGAACTCGGCAGCAAAGGCTCATGGTCCTGCTGTAAATCATGTTTTCAGACATAATCAAACAAAGCTGTGCATTTATTATTCACTCAAATGCTTTCAACGATGACGTCACGCACTCAGATGTCAGCGGGTTCTGCAGATACACCGCGCGACCGTCGCTCTGTGTCTTCACCCAGAAATATAATCCAGGCTGAGAAACACACACACACACACAGAACTATGACTCTAATTATAGTTCTGTTTAAATATAGACTGGCATATTGGTTGGCAGATAAATGAAAATGTCTATTTTCAACTAAAAGGTCAACAGATCATGTAACATTCCTGAGCAGCTGCATTAGGAGGAAAAAAAAAAGTTTATTTGAGCCAAAAAAAAGTTCTCTTTGGAGACAAAAATCCTGATTTCTGTGTTTGTAAACATGACACATCTGAACACGTGTGTGTGTGTGTGTTTGTGTTTGTGTTTTCCGTTTAAATGTGAAAATATTTGCCACTTTTCCCCTGCTAGATTACCAAATTCTTCCAGGATCGACACAGAGCTCGGAGAAGTCGCCTGCGCAAAGATCAGCTCAAGAAACTCCCAATTCACAAGTTTAAGAAAGGTAGGAACTCCCACATGATGAAAATAAAATAACCGCTGGCACCGCACATGCTGATGTTCACATCTGGTAAAGCTAACGCTAAGGCTCACAGTAAATAAATATTCAGATGTCACGGTCCATTTACCAGATTTTTCCAGTCTTTCCCCCTGAACACCAGATCCAAAATCTTCTCTCTCTCTCAACCTGATCCTTACTAAAACTTACCTTTGACCTCAGTGTGGAATTTCCACAAGCAGAGGAAAAGAGCAACAGTTTGACTGAAATGTTTTTCTCTGCACCTGGTTTCCATCTCCACTCATAGTGTGTGTGTGTTTTAAATGTGAAAATGTTTCACCGGCACCACAGTCCAAGATCTTCTGTTAGTACATATATTAGTGTGTACTTCTCGTACTTCTCTTACACATGGATTCTTTTCTGATTCTTTTCTGAAAAGTACAACATTTTTCTCAGTATTTAGTGGATTCTTTTCTGATTCGATCTTTGATGGGAACATGTTTGAAGCAAAAGATGAAGAAATGGTAAAGATTGTTGAGTAAAAGTACAACATTTTTCTCAGTATTTAGAGTAAGTCTAGTTCATATAGTGTTTGGTTGGATTTCACTTTCGTTTCTCCCTGTGATTAATAAAATATGTGACCTAAACCCGGGTGTTGTTGGGTTGTCCACCGCACTAGTATTTGTTATAGGATTCCACCCAGAAGAGTGACGTCACCGGTGTTCAGAGTTCATTCAGATCTACACCTCGGAGATTTTTTGTCTTCTGTGCCGGATTAGAGCTCTCTGTCTCTGTTACGACCTGACACTTGACTGATGCTGTGGAATGTGGGTTTTTTTTTAAACACAAAAGTAGTTTATATGAAGAGTTTTGAGGCCTTAGGTTTGGTCAGAGAGTTGAAGAAGGTATAAATATGTCAGTCTCGGTTGAAATCTTTACTTTAGTTTCCTCTCTCTTCTTTCCCACCTGTGTCCTGGTCAGACTGACCACAGCATTGTTTTGCAATGCAAAGTCACTTTGTGCTGTGGTCAAGTGAACTCTGTTGCTCTTTATTGTTCACGCAGTGGTGTTTCCTCCTTCAGCTGTTTTCTGAGGACTGGAAAACTCCCCTGAATGGAATATTATGGGTGGTTCACAGTAACTACCCCCTTCTTGCAAAGCTGCTAATTGAGGGTATTAGGAGTCGAGCTGCTCCTCCCAGCCCCGGCTGCGACCGACGCACGGGCAGCTCTGCAGCTAAAAGTCGTGCCAGTGACTCAGAGAGCTGTTTCTGTCACGTCAGGCTCTGAGGTTTTAAATGCACTGCTGCTTTAGCGTGTGTGTGTGCGTGTGCACATAAGAGAGAGAGAGAGAGCAGCGGCGGCCCTGACTCAGGGTTTCCACCAGCACTGCTACAGCCAACCTTGGCCTCTTCAGGCAGTTCAGATGTCCAGGAAACCAACTCCAGGGTGGCGTTTGCATTTCTGTCAGCTGAGTGTTGAGTGACACAGGAAGGGGAAACCAAATCACTGCAGAGCCACCAATGGTTAGAGGGAGAGTGTCTGTGTTAGCGGTTAGCAACCCCTTGGGGGAAAAAAAAAAGTTTTTTTAAATGACATTGTGAGAATGTGATGAGTGGCAGCACATGCAGCGTGAGTTCTATTCGCTTTTAGATTTCTAACTGAGATTTTTAAACTGTGTCTTTGAATATAAATATATCCTCCTATATTAGATGTTTTACATCAGTTTTTATGGAACAAGTCAGATCAACACATGATGATGATGATGGTAACTGTTGCACTTCATCTGTGCGTCTGTAAAATGCCTGACCAGGTTTTATGGCTCACATCATGGCACAGTAACAGCAGGTCATTACATCTGATCTGGTTGAAGTGCTTTGATAAGGTTACTGGGCTTTGTGTTCGATGCCCAAGGGGGAGGTTGAGTTGAATGAAAGTAAAAAAAAAAAAAAAAAATTGGACAAAGACCAGTAAAGGAGTTTGGTGTTTTGGTTAATGACCAAATATTTATTTAGTCGATGGATATTTGTCCTTAAACTACTGTCAGACTGTGGAGGGTTTTATTGTTGCAGGTTGATCGTGTTGCTGACATAGCAACCGAAGATAAAGGAGATAAAAATCATCTCCAGGAGATAAAAGCTGCTGACTGGTGCATTTTAAAGCTTTGTCTGTTCATAACAAAAGATAATAATAATAATGTTTTTGAGGGTGAGGGTGGGAGAATAAGGATGTGACATATTTAACATTTAAGACGCGAAAAACGGTACATTTGACATCGGTTTATACGAGACAAATGTTTAAACTGTTAAACTAAGTATCAGAAAAACTACAGTACTACAGTTATTATTACTACTACTACTACCACCAAGTATTAGTTGACATGGTAAGACTTTGTGTTTGTGTCCATACGTAGCAGCTCATCACTGTATGGGAGCGTCGTCTAATGGAGGCGTTGACCTCAGCTGCAGTGGATAGTGCTGAGCTCGGACTTTACTGCCTGTAAGTGATGCAAATGGAATGGAGAAATACTGCAATAATGTGTTGCTGGGTTTAAAGGTGCAGTTCGTGTTGTGCATCACGTCTACAGTGAATGGTTTGTTGTTTGTCTCCTCGCAGACAAAAGGTCGGTGAAAGAGCTCAGAGACAAAGTAGGAAATGCATTTTAGTCTTAACAGTTTTTAATCGAAGATTTTTTGATTTTTTTTTTAAAGATAATGATACATGTGGAACAAGACAGCTTGCAAAACTGTAATATTTGAACAGATTTTCCATTCAAGTTTGATTGGATCAAAAATGGTTTTAGTTTAATTTATGTTTTAATTTATTTTTTTAGTTTCCATCTTAGAATTTTTTTTACCTTCTCTGCAAAAGTGCATTCAGTTCACAGTCTACCACCTGGAAGGCATCGTGCCAATGTACAAAGCTGCAGTCTTTCTGCAATATTTCATCATATTGTCCTGCTGTTACTGTTGATTCTATGTGGGGGTTTTTTTTTTTTTAATATAAAAACATAATAAACTGATGTAACTGTTGGGTTACATCCATGAACACTGATGCTGCTGCTCTTGGTCCTGGTCAGAGGTCATGATCTGTGGTGTCAGACTTGTATGTATGATAATAAAAATCAACAGCAGCAGCAGTGGTTTAGCAGCAGCACAAAGAGAGGCTGGTTCTGAATGGTGCACAATGTCTTGATGAAAACCACGGTCACCGTGTAATTGGTGCACAATGCCAGTCTGAGCAGCCGCTGCCGCAGAAGATGCGTCTGAGTTTACAGGATAATGTAAGAGCAGCTGCTGCTGCTGCTGCTGCTGCTGCTGCTGCTGCTGCTGGGCCTGCCTCATCTGCACTAACACTTTAAACCTAACATTGGGCCAGGGGTCCAGGATCTTGGAGGATCTACTCCCTGGTTCTTGGCAGTCACACACAGCGACAGTTCCTCCAGTTTTAACTCCTCTGTGACTGAGAAGCTTCTCCTTCACCTCTTTGCAGCCCCCGCCCCCCCCCAAAGGCAAAAGCAGGGCTCACACTAACCCTATAACTATTATAAATATATAACTTCATCTTAGACTTTGACCCTTATTCCAAATCCAAGTCTTAAACCTCAAAATACCCTCTGACTCCAGGACCACATGTCCCCGTACAATAGGATTTCCACCAAAAAAAAAAGTGTCCCAATAAGAATATCTGTACCAGTAACCCAGTCACACACTCACAGAAGAACAGCTGCAGTGTCTCAGGCATCAGTTGAAGTCAGTACAGAGGACCCCTGCCCCCCCCGACCCCGCCCCCCAACCCCAGTTTTCACTTGTCTTCACTCACTCCTTGTCTCCTCTCCTTTATTCCGTTGCTGGCTGTGCTACACACACACACACACACACGCAGCTCAGCAGAAGTTCAGTAGGACAGCGTGATTCCTCGGAGAGCCAGGAATTCTGCCAGACCGGCTGATTAATGAAAGAAGTGTGAACACACACACAAAAAAAGAAAGAAAGCCCGGCCTCTGCCCCGTGAGTCCTTCAAAGATGAGCTGCAGATGTCGATACAAAACATTGAATGCATCTAAAAAAAAAACAACAAAATAACAAAACACACAAAACAATGCAATTGTAGGTACAGTGTTTTTTTTTTTATTAGGTAGTCGCTGAGTCAAAGCTGAGGCACCTAGATCACACAGACAGTGAACTATTACTGGAGACCATAAAATGGTTTTATTTTTTATTTCTTTCCCCTTTTGACTCACACGGTTTGATCATTACAGCAGTGTCGAGACTCATTAAACAGTGTCACGGCTCAGAGGCGGAAAATCTGCTCGTATCTCCGACTGAAGTCCACGGAACGGTCAAGGAACGACATGACGACACCGTTATCTCCTCGCTGTAGTGAAGGATGTCGTTAAACACAACAAAAACACAGACAGTCGCTCCAGAAAGATCTGGTATCCGTAGACCAGGTCTGTCTGCAGACTGGACTGACAGACGGGTGTCTGGTGGACATCAGTTCATACTGAATTATATTATTATATATCAAGGAGACAGGTTCACTGTGACAGATTATTTTGATGTTGAAGTTGAAGTGAAAACTGGGTCAAAGTCCCACTTTAGTCGACAGGAGTGTTTAATGTTTCATTAGTTTTAGTCAATGTAATATCCAACTTATTTTCATTGTCTCCCCGTTCAGATCGCTGACTAAGTGACTAACTCTGTTGACCGTTGGTACAAGTCGGTCAAACTAACTCTTCCATCACTTGGATGGTGTATTTTTTTTTACAGCCCACTCAGATAATAATCTGCTGCTTCAACCTTATTCAAGTCTCTGACTGTGTTTACAGTATGTTTGTTCATTGGTCACTCTCTCAAATCCATCATTAGGACCAAACGTATCATTTGAATAATTTTCTAACCTTTAGAGTTTTAAAAAATATTTTTAAGCTTGTTTTTTGTTACTGTAATGAAGTGAAAAAAAGTGATATTTAACCTGTGTGTCCTTGATCTTAAATCATTGATTTTCTCTATGGACTTTAGTGCTGGAGATTTTCCAGTTTCAGACAGACTTCTTCAGGTGTTGTTGTTGTTGTTGTTGTTCAGGGCAGTTGTTTTTCCTTGAGTTTTGCAAGCGCTAATGATGATTATTAAAAGTTGTATTGTGTTGTTTCATTAGTGAGGTATTTGAAATATTTCAGTTCTTTGTCTCTGTCTTGGATTTTGCTGCTGTTTTTTTTTTCTGCCTGACTCAAAATAGATCAGTGCCACAGCTCAGCATTTCCTGAGTGTAAACCGTCCCTCCCTCTGACCCAGTCCAACTGTCCAGCCCTGGCCAGTGGACACAGAGAGAGAGAGAGCGAGAGAGAGCAAAGAAAAACATGGCACTGGAGTTATCTGAATCTGTAGATAAAAAAAAGACTATTTTAGGATCAAGTATTAACATTTTGGGAGTGAGAAAACAAGAGAAGGGAAAGTGTGAAGAGCAAGATGGAGTAGATTTCTGTGCTGATGTTCAGACAGAAACGGAAGGAGGTAGAGGAGGAGGAGGAGGAGGAGGAGGAGTGGAGGGGGGGAGGCTTCAGTCGATGAAACTCCTCATCCTTATACGGTCACATGCAGCCCTGGCATGGACGCAGAGAGCCCAGTCAGGGAAAACATGCTCTTTTAGAGCTTACATAAACACACTGATCCACAGCGCTGCTCCAAACCTCCCCCTCCCCCTCACCCCTCCTCCTCCTCCTCCTCCCCCCTCCACTCAGCCTGGGAAGAGGAAAGGCAGAAAGAGAGGAAGACGGCTGTGGAATTTGGAAGAGAGTTCGTTGCTACTTGCGGTTCACAGAGCTCAGGCGGAACTTCCTGTGACGGCAGGAAGTGAAGCAGTCACAGGAATTCACAGGGATTTTACCTGTAGATGGACGTTTGCTGGGGCGAGGTCACAGGAAGTCTTACGTTAGTCGTGTTGTTAAAAAACAAAAAAGTTCTAGACTCACCTGGTGTGAGAAGAGTTAAAACTCTTGACTTTTCTCTGGGACTAAAAAGTGGAATAAAGACCCTCTCACCCACTGTCTCACCCACTATCTCACCCACTATCTCACCCACTCACAGGTTTGTTGTTTGTAAATGTTAGTAACATTTGTGTGGTGAGTTGTTGAAATGACACGTGAATAGATTATTAAAGTAACCAACGGTAGAAGAGGGAAAGACTTAATCAGTGTTCCGTCAGTCTCTCTCTGACCTTCATCTTCTCCTCCACCCAGGAGACAACTACGACGTCTGTGCCATCTGCCTCGACGAGTATGAGGACGGAGACAAACTCCGGGTCCTGCCGTGTTCTCATGGTGTGGTAACGATTCCTGCGTCTGACAGGAAACTTCTAAAAACTTGATTCATCCAAGTATCTGATCTGTAGATCTTCAGGTGGTTTGACCCGTGGTCTACGGATGTTCACTCTCTTTATTTCTGGTCCTCAGCCTACCACAGCAAGTGTGTGGACCCCTGGTTGACCAAAACTAAGAAGACGTGTCCGGTGTGTAAGCAGAAGGTGGTTCCCTCACAGGGAGACTCCGATTCCGACTCGGAGGAGAGCGGCCAAGAGAATGAGGAGGTGTCCGAGAGCACTCCTCTGCTGCGCTCCCTGGCCTCCACCAGCGCACACTCCTTCGGAACCATGTCGGGAGCGTCGCGCTCAGAGCAGGACCAGGAGTCCTCGGATTACGAGGACGAGGAGCTGGACAGCAGCGACAGCGAGGAGGAGGTGACGGTGGAGACGGTGGTGGTGCAGATGCAGCAGCCCTGCTCTGAGGACCACGGCCTGGAGCCTGATCTGCCCAGGGTTTGATCAGCAGACTCTTGTGGAAGCCCACGCTTCAACACTCACAGCTGCGGAGACTTATTTTGTTGTGATTCGTCCTCCGAATTCTTCTGTCGCTGCTTCAAATACATGGTAATGTATCTTTAAGTTCAAACACACACAAGCTTGACTTTTTTTAAAATGTGGTTGTGGATGAAGTTCAGATCTCCACCTCAGTGAGTGAATGTTGGACAGGAGTGTACAGTAGACGTCTGTACTGTACACCGTCCAGTCGTGACACATGTAGTCCTAATGGAAAAAAAAAGTCCTAATCATCGAGTGAAATACTGTGTATATAAGTATGGATCACTTTACGTTGACATGTTTACTCTTGATTATCTCTGAGCCTGTGTTTCAGGAGACTGCAGTATTGTACATACATGTTCTGTCACCGCTCTGTGCAGCGTCTGTTTGGTAAAACTCCCATCGTCATCGTCGTCACTCAGCACGGTTTAAAAAAAAAAAAAGCAACGGCCCTGCCGTTCCATTTCAGTTTGGACTCATAAAGGAGGCGCCCCGCCCTCATCTGTGCCACGGTTTATGTCACTGTCACAGCTGCTGGAGACAAAGCAGGCTGAAGGAGGAATGTTACTGGTCATGTGACGTCACCCACACCCACAGTGGGTCACACCAGTTCATCGACGCAACACAGTGACGACAGTGTCAGCTCTGCAGTGACCCACGGCTTCATCTCACAGTTGTCCACCCAGAGGCCGGGTGTAGAAAGTGAAAACCAGTTCTAGTTGTAGCGCTAACACGCCTGTCGTCATTATAACGTACAGTAGCTCTGTCTTCGCTGACAGATTCTGTTGCCTTTTTTTTTCACTTTGTTATTATTTTTGTCTGACTTTCTTTTTTTTTTTTCTCAATATAAATCCATCCAGTAAAATAAATAAAAACAAAATGATACTCAACACTGAGTCCTCGCTTTTTCTGTAATGGATTATGAACAGGTAACGGACCGGACTGAGAGACCGAGACTCTTTAGTCTTGGAGCTTCAGTATTAACTGAATCTTTATGATAGCAGGTAAAAAACTGATTTATGGTTTACTCTTGATTTTATTGGTCACATTCGTCCGCTAAAAAAAAAACGATATTTCCGAAATGTATTAAATCCATCTTGTCTATTGCAAAAGTGAGAGTAAGACTTTTTTTTTGCTTTTTATTTAAAAAATGATAAATTTTAAATTTAAGTTCATACTCTTGTTTGTCCGTAGGGTTCTGTAGAGAAAACAAGACTTTGAACGATAACAGGTCAAAGTTCCTGTGACCTGTTATTGGCCAGACATTTCTACCAGAAGACTGATCTGGACTGCAGGCCGGACAGGTACCAACAATGAAGCCACATTTGTAATAAATGCAGAATAACTATTGACATTGTTCTGGTGAACACTCCAGTTTTTTTGTCATTAATTAAACAGACATCACAACTGTTCATAATTCTTTTAAAATTGCGATCTTGACACAGTTTGTTTCCTTTCATACAGACACGTACGTTGACGAGGAAAATGTCGGCCGTCAGTGACGGTGCTGTTTCCAAAATGAAGCCGACTTCAGCAGACGTAGACGAGGAGTTTAGCTCTTGAGTCATTAGAGTTAAAGGTACGGTCTATAATTACTTCAGTTGTGTATTTGATAAACAAGGCGCTGACGGCGACATTCTGATCAATGTTCAGGGCCACACCCATTTCCCATAGGCGTGATACGTCAGTATCACGATAGTTAAGTCATGACATAGTTTGGTGATTAGCACAGCGTTGACGTCAGTCCTGGCACGTGGTCCATCAGTAGTTTTTATCTGGAATACTTTGACTTGTTGAAGTATGACATAATTAGTTACATCAATAGAAAATAATGAATCATCTGCACTTGTCATGTGATATCACGTCAAATGCTTCAACGATTTGCTCGGTTGTTATACAGATTAAGTTAAACAACGAGGAACAAAGTGAGGATGAAAATTAGATTCAATCTTTGCAGCTGCTCTCAGATCAGCTGAGTTGAGTGTCTCCTTCAAAAGGACATTAAACCTCATGAATACTTATACGCTCTTGATTGTCGAATGATACCCTTCAAACCGGTCATCATGTGACAAAAAGTTTAAATGTCCCCTTCAAGGTTGTTTGCTGATTCTCTTTGGTCTACAGTGAATCATATCAGTTAATACTCATGCAGTTTTTTTTTTTGTGTCTTTCAGTGCAGTTTTTATTGAACATATTTAAGCCAACGTTACAGGAAGCTGATCAACAAACGCTGTCTGACTCCAGTTCAGCAGTTTTTGTTTGTTTGTTACCAGGGCTTCACATTCGAACCAATGAACAACATTCATTTCTTATGTGAAGTGATGCGTTAGTAGATACTGGATTAAGGCGACGTTCCTGATGACTTAACCTGGACATCTGAGAAACATCTGTTTATTTGTTAGCACTACAGCTACACTGTTGATTTAATAAGTTCATAGAGTTTCCTGCTTGAATGTCTTAAGATAGGGATCTGCATCCTGTGGCTCCTGGGCCTTTTTTGCCACTTGTCCCTATGAGATTTTACATATTTGTGGCTTTTTCCCCGCAAGCAGAAAGCCATACATCCATCATCCAATCAGACAGTATTTGAAGTAGACCGCAGTGTAGAGACAGACTTATCATGGCCGTCAATCACTATGGGATTTTTTTTTCTTCTTTCACCTTGCTTTAAAGAAAAAAAAAAGAACAAAACAACATAGTGTTGCTGTTCTCTGTAACAGGAGATTGTAGGGGTACAACTACAGTACTTTAACCTTCATACAAGTACTACTGGTCTGAGACAATAGCTGTGTATTCGGTGCATCTCATACTATACAGCCAAGCAGTGATTAAAGCACCGACCTGTGTATTCATACTGTACAGCCAAGCAGTGATTAAAGCACCGACTCTAAACTCTGAGGTGAGATCCAGAATTTTAATCAACTCTGGGAGTTAAATATTGTTGGCTGCAGTAGAAGCCCAGGGCTACGGGCTACATGGTCAGGAATTGTAGGTTTATCCCAAATATCCAGACAGCTGTAGGTCATATGGATTCTTCCTTAAGATGGATCTTTAATAGAACAGTCCAATAACTGACGTTACTTCTGGACTCTGAACCCACTGAACCTCAGATTTCCTGGCTTTAAGTTGCCTGGATACAGATCACCTCTGACCTTTTTAAACAAAATACCCATCAACACACACACATCTGGTTGGAATAAATTTATTTGATCTGTCTGTAAACAAGGTGATAAATCAATTTATGGCATTTCTTGGTTTGTATGCATATGAAATCATATGCATCAAAGAGACAGTATCCCAGATGTAGGAAACAAAAGTGGTGAGGGGAAGAAACATAAATCAGCAAACAGGACTTGAAACTGTTTTTTAATGAGTACACAGATCCCACAAGGCCTGAACAGTGGAGCTGAAGCTTAAAGGGAAGGGGAAAGGAAAAAAAGTGCCAATGAAGTGACTTTAGTGGACAGTGGCTAACTGTCGTACAACAGCAACAGATCTCTCTACGTTATGGCACAGGATACACAGGTTCTGCAGAACTTGTTCAAGAAAAAAAAAAACAAGACTGTTTTCTTTCTCCTTTCTTCTTCCAACCGATCCCATTGGGTGTCATATCTACTTCATGGTATAGTGTTTTTTTTTTTGTTTTTACTGTTTCTGAATGGGACGATACAGTTAGCAGTACTGACCGGACAGACCATGTGATACCCCGGAGCTCAGTCGACTACAGAGAAGAAGGCAATTTATTCCACAGTTTTATAAGTTTGTCAACACAGCATGGGTTTATACAAATGCAGTTGTTTATTTTTTTTTTCTTTTTACTTTAAACAAACAGGAAAAAGACCTATGAGGATATTCTTCATTTCCTCCCACACCCTCACCTCCCCTGCAGCTTCATATGTATCAGCCATCCTTCACATGATTTTTAGAGCAAATGTATAAACGCCCGAGCCTCGACTACTCTTGGTCCTATTAAAAAAAAAAAGAAAATCAAACTGGACAATCTCCAGGTGGTTAGATGCTGGGTTACCTACTGTCCAACAATGGCAGCCTTAAAAAAAAACAAAAAAAAAACAAAAAAAAATATACATTGTACAGGAGCGATCAAAACAAAGTGCCTGAGCCATCATTGCTGTGGAATGTCCATGGTGTTTTATATTCATGATGGATGTAAGGACAGGCTCCCAGAATCTGGATCAGCCCTCCTGAACCCCCATGTTAACATCTATAGGACCAGGTGATAACTCTAAAGGAGGGGACGGGGCAGGGGTTACAGAGTAGTCTTATTACTGTTTATGTAATGTCTGGAGAGGACGAAAAAAAAAAAGATGTAGTGAAATAATAATAAAAAATATTGGCAGGAGTAGGTGAAGGAATAGGAGTTGGGGGATGTTCTAGATGTGTGAAGGCCTCCTACCCTGGAGGGAGGATGGAGAAGCTAAACGAAGGAAGACGTGAGGAGCTTTGTTTACGCTCAAGTGCTGCTCAGCCGGGGAGTGTGTTCACTTTAGATGACAGGAAAGAGGGGAGGAGGTGAGGGGGGTATTCTAGCACTGTAGTCTTCGGTTCTTGTGGACAGATTTCTTATTCTGTTGATTTTTGTCACCATAATCTTTTTGGAACATCATTTGTTATGGGTCAACTTAACAGTGCTTTAAGAAAGAAAGAAAAAAAAGGGCGGGACGGGGGAGAAATCACAGCGCAAGTGCATTAGGAGGAGAGAGGAGGGGGTCGGGGATGGACAATAACAAAATAAAAAAAGGGGGAGAAGAAAAACATATGGAAACTACCAACTAGGACTGAAGTAGTGTGAAATGCAACTGGGTGGTGAAGGGTGAGCAGGGTACAGGATGCTCTAGTATCCAGACTTCCTCAGGTAATCGGCCATCGTAAATGCTTTCTTGTTGAGCTGCCCTCCGTGGATACCTTCCTTCCCCATGACTAAAACCAATGCTGGAGTACACAAAGGAAAAAAAACAAAAGAAATGAATAAACACGATGACAACAGGGCTGGAAAACAAAGATATGTTTCTACTTCTCATTGCCACCTCTTTTATTTTAGTGCTACACTGTTTGATGACGCTGTGATAGAAATGCTCCCGGGATTTTTTTTTTTCATTTTTTTTTAGTGGGTTTGGGGACTGGTATTTTATTTTTTTAGGTTTTACTTTTTCAAGTTTTGTGGTTTTTGTTTGCCTTTTTGCTAGTTTTATTCTCTCTCCTTAACACTATGCCACATAAGCTACATGAAAATTAAAAAAAGAACAAAAACTGCCTAAAACCCTGAATCCCTCAAGTATTTTGCCATTGAGTATGCCTTCTTATTCAATCCGCCTCCATGGACCCCTTCTTTGCCCATTACCAAGACCAAGACTGAAAGAAAAAGAGACAGAAGGGACATTAACAGGAGAGGAGATCAGACAGGTAAAAGACACCAGCACAAGGCTACAAGCAGCAGGCAGATGACAACAGACAGAGAGAGAGAGAGCGAGAGAGAGAGTGAGGTGCGAAGGTCGTTTCACCACTCACTTTCTTGATCAGTGCTGCTGGTGTGGGGGAAAAATGCGTAGGAGTTAAAGGAGCAGACAGGGCACATGCAGACACATGACAGAAGACGGTGAAAGTGAATAGGAACAGGTACCAAAGAACAACAAATCTGTTCATTTCATCTAATTTCTACCCATACAAATGTCTATCGTGACTAAAACTGCTAACGTTTGACTTCCTCACTCAGTTTCCCACATGATGCCACGGCTTATCTGTTGTTAACAGCATCCAACAGATGCTTTTACATCACAAAAGTCAGGTAAAAATACAAAACCAGCTGAAGACACTGATCAGTGATATACTCAATTTACAATAAAATATCCAGTAACTTTTGCTAACTAAACTCAGTCAAACCGATTCAAAAGATAATTCAGTAAAAATTCTGCTTCTGTATGCTAACAATCAAGGATTGCTGACTGCACATTAGCTTTTCGTTTCCACTGCAACTCTACCCTATTCATTTAGAGGGTTTGCCTGAAAAAGGGTGAAGTCACTGAAGCTAAGGTGTGGATCCATGGTGCTGCTCTCCAACTGGAGGGTTGCTCGATGACCACTAACCCCAATGTATCCACACATGCTGCTAAGCAACTGTAGAACACAAATTTAGTCTTTCAGTCGATTTCTGACCAACAGCAAATGTTTGCCATTCATACCAAGGGTAATTGAGCATCCAAAAGATCAGTCTGCCATTGTATTTCCAATACTTGTGGTGCGTGTCATTTATTATTCAATAGAAATTGATTTTTTGGGAGAAAGTAACAGTGTTAGGAGTGACAGTATTAGTGAGGCAAGATGCATCTTGCAGCAGCAAAAATGCACAGATTATATATACACAATGGCACCACTGTCACTTTTACTTTAGTCAAGAAGGCTAACACACTAAATAACGATCAAGTATTGAATGATTACAGCTACAGATAAACCCCAATTTATAAAAATCACTTTACTTGTACCACACAGCACTTGTGGGACATCAAACAGAACAGTTCTTAAAAAACAAACCTTTGAGCCTAAAATATTCATGGATCATTATCTAAAAAAAAAAAAAAAAAAAAAAAAAAGCTAATTTTCCACATCAATGTGCTCTTTCCTTGCAGTAAGATCATGGCTGAGGTGGAACCAAACCAAGTCACACGCCAGAAGACACACAACTATTAATGCCTTAGTGAAACACCAACTCCTCATACACAAAATTCTGCAATATCATCCTATTGTTTTCATATTTGTAATAATAACCTTGGGAATGTGCAAAAAAATTTTAAATCTTTGTCGAACTCTTAAATGTCCCTGTGGATTCTCCAAGGTTACTGCAAACGACCTCAATCGTCTTCAGTCATGTGTAATCACAGAGCACCAGCAACAAAGATGAAAAAAAGTGAAGCTTCAAGAATAATGATATATATATATATATATACATACAACAACCCATGACTAATAGCACTAAATACTAGAGCAGACAAGGGTACAGTGACATGCTAATGGAACCTCTCCTCAATACATGGACCATTCTTTAGTGTAAAAAAAACATTTTACCAGAAGAGTGTTAACTGGGAAGGAGGAAAATGCATGCAGTTCAGGAAGTTTAGAAAAAACCTCACGGTCTGAGGAGTGAAGGAAGATACACACAGGGACGAAACCGAAGGCTGGCTCACCGTGTAGATTTTAGACGAGTCTGAGAAACCGGTGGAGGACCCAGGGATGGGGCCCATAAAGGCAAAATAAAAGCTGACAAACTCTTAGGCAAGTAATCAAAAGTTTCCACTTGAGAGAACCCTACTTTTTTTAAAAAATGTCTAATCTCTACTAGGTATTCTCTTCCAGAGAGATTTGTCAACACCGATTGTGATAATTTTGGCAACATTAAAGTCATTCATTTTTAGTAGAATTGGGGTATTAGGAATCCAAATGTCAGTGCATACCAATGTTTAGATGAAAACATTTTTTATATTTTTTTGAGACTTCAAAATGTTTAGATGACATTTTTTATATTTTTTTGAGACTTCATTAACATTTACATATTTAAAACAGTTTGCATTGTGGTTGTGCATTTAAGCTATAACAATTTCAAACCCTGTGCTAATGTTGTGGTTCTTTAAAAGAATCTAGCTTGTTCTTTTACTTCAAAATTGTTGATCATTATTTTTTACATTCAATCAATTACACTGCCTAAGTTCTGAAATACTGTATTACAGACACAGCCTAACTTCTGAAATACTGTATTACAGACACAGCTCAATATATATAGAGCTATTTAGATGGGACTACTTTAGCTTTCAAATTGCCCACGTAGATAACGACTTAATTCACATTAGTGCACTGCTTTCTCTCTACCTTAGCTGACTTCAAAGTCAATATCAAGTGACTTACAATGTTTTTTAATCTGCTGTCATATATTGAGGAAAGGTGCATTGAAGAGCTACACCACATGCATGAACAACACAAGGTATGTTCGGTACATGGCTAAATTTGGGGTATGCTAATAAAGCAGGGGCTACTCTGACACTGTAGCACCACTTAAATGTAGGCAGCCAAGTTACCATAATATGTGATTCTCACCTTTGCCGGCTTTGCCTACAGAAACATTGTATGTTGGCTCTCCTCCTTGACTCTTTGTCCGGATGTCCATTGTCCAGTCGCCATCAATTTGGAGGCTGTCTCTGATAACAGAGCACTTTTTAACACCTAAGGTCATCCCGTTGACGAAGAAGCCCATTCTCTCCTTTCCTGTTAACACGTCGATTTCTTCAGGCTACAAGACAGAAATGCAACAAGTCAGAAATGCACCTTTACACCAGACGTCATAAAGACAATCATTTAAAAGTTCTGATTTTTTCCCCTCTTTAGTTCAAGACATTTATTCAAGGCATCTCCTGATGTAGACAGAATATTCTACTGCAATGAAAGACTATACACTCATATACTGTGCAGTTTAAATGAACTGAATGAATGAATTGTATGCAAGACATGGATAATTGTTATGCACTCAAGGTGTGCAAACAGGATTAAATAAGAGCACTTTTTGTGACCTTGGGCTACATCTATGACAACAAAGATCCATAAAATAATTTACCTGTCTGACCCCGTTTTGTCGTAATATCCAAATGCGTGCTTTTGAAATATTTGTGTGGTTTATAGATGTGAGATGTATATTATTGTAAAGGGGCTTCCATAGCTATTACATTATTCAGCAATCATTACAGCACAGTATATTTGTAACTTTGGAAAAAATACCTGCTGAATAACACTAGATACACACTATAGTGAAGGCACATTAAAATACTTGGAGACGTGCATAACGAAAATCTTCTCGGTGTAACAGACAATAGATTAAATAACACCTGGTGGTGACTGAGGCCTACTGCGTCTAGATGAGAGCATTTACAAATACTCTTAGTCTGGTGGCTCCTACAAGATCCTACCATCTATAAAGAGAGCAGATTTGCCATTTTCTTTAAGACAAAAACGCAGCACCAAAGGCGTCGCCTCTCAACTTCAGAAGTGCACAGTCATGGCCCACTAAACCACCCGGACAAAAAGGAAAAGTGACTCATACATGCTCACACTATGTTAGAGTGGCCGCTAACTGGGTGTCGGCTGACCGGCTACAACGTTATACGTTTTCTACTAGTTGATAAACGTTTGAGCTGCTGCTCATTTCGCAGCTTCTTAAATCCTTGTGGGCCTACCTGTAAACCAGTATCGGTTTAAACAATGCAGCTAATCATATTCAACAATACCGAGGCTAGGTCTGCTAAGGAGTAACTATACGTTTTTGACAACGAATGCGAGAAGAAAAAAAAACGGATATCGTTCATTCTTTTTTTCGGTAATATTTTTAACTATAGCTGAAGCCCAGGCGGACACTCCCAGACGCCGTTAGCTAATAGAGGCTCAACCCGACCATAGTTCAGCTAATGACACTGATAACCAGCATGTGGTCGGCGTGATTACTTAACATTAGTCATATTTACAAAGCACTCGAATAATTCAATGAAAGACAAATGTATTTAAATGAGACAAAAGAGGTTTGCGAATGTGTCAGAATATACCCTAAAACAAACATTTATTAAAAATACGTTTTTGTAAGCTTTAGTGTGCGAGAAAAATCACGGTGTCTAAATGTGAACCGCGGCGGATGCACATGTTCACCGATTAGCCTCCGTGAGCAAAATGAATAAGAAAGTGGCAGCATGTCCGCCATCTTGGGAAATAAGGGGCGGCAGCGGCGGCGTGACTCAAAGAAACCGAATGGGGCAAAAGAACAAAATTAAGTCGTCGATGAGGTAAGGCAATACGCGTTCAGTGTACGCTGGTGTTGACATTGTGTGTCTGAGAACAGCTCAATTTTACGCTATTGGCGTTAGCCGGTGACGGTTGTGCAGCGGCCTGATTTGAGCTAACGGTCAGCTGGACCCGGCTAATCAATTAAATAAAAAGTTTCGGCGTTGCTTAGCGGACGTGGTCCAAACTCAGTAATTAGCCGTTTTCATTAAAACAATACAATGAATATAACAAATAGAAAAAAGGTATAGCCCGTTCTGTGACATTTGTTACCACGTCTGACCAGTAACTGATGAAAACAGGGCCGGTCCACTGCAGCTACCCCCGTTAGAGATGCTAAGTTAGCTTTTTTAGATGGCGTCCGTGCTACCTTTATTTTATTCTTCATTATTCTGAAGAGTCTTTCTCAGAAAACAAATTAATTGCACAACATGTTAAAACGGGTACATATATAAATAGGTAACTATTTAAGATCGCAGCTGGACATATGTGCCAATGCGTCTTGCGCGAGGGAGAGAAAGACCATCGGATACCATGTGTACCACAGCGCTCCCCTCATCCCCATTCAACGAGGCCTGGCTATGCAGACAACACATCAACACGCCGAATTGACACTTTTCTCCCCAAAACGAATGGATTTGACAAAGAGAGTCCACTAACCGTTATGTTGGCAAATGTACCACCGCAACACGACGCCCACACGTATTTGGCGTCCGTGTACCCAACAATGGCCGCGTCCTGGCAGCTGCCATCAGCCATCAGGTTGTCCACGTAGCTTTGCCAGGACATGTTTGAAAAATTGGTTCTAGGATGGAAAACTGCGTTGGATGAGAGTAGTTTGAAAACGCCACTTATGCGACGAATACACAGTGAGGAAGCTGTATTTATTGGATGTTTGACGGGGCCTCCAGCTAGCAGAATCCTCCCAGCTCCGTCACGTCCCGTCTTTCTTCTGGTCAGGGCAGCAAAGAGAAGCTTCTGCAATCCGACAGGCGCTGGGTGTAGTCCTTCCCGTATCCCTCCGCCGGGTCGTTGTTTGTCTTCTTGGAATTGCCAGCTATACCTTCACGCGGATGGATACATCATCGTTGATCACGATGGCGGTTTATAAAAGGCAGACTTTTTTTTTTTTTTTTTGCACTGCATCAAAGCCTTAATGTTATTTTTTTTTTTTTATTGTTTTTTACTTTATAACTTACACAACATCCATATATTTGCATATCTATAGCATATACATTTATGACACTATATTGAAAATGATAACTCTATGTGGGTAACTTATTAGGTTTCTACAGCATTGCCAGTTAAGGGATCAGAAATCACACAGCCATGGTTTAGCCACAGTTTAATTAATTTGGACTGCAAGGCCCAAGGACTAATAAAGTGTTTGCTTTTCTGAGGAAAATATGTGAGACATGTACAACACCAGGAACACAGTCCCCAAGTGGAACATGGAAATGTTATTTAAATGTTACATGGTAATATTGCTCTTCTTTAGTTCTAGACCAGGGTCTGTGACAAAACAAACAGACAAAAGAAAAAAAAAACATAAAATTTGACGTTGTATGAGTGACTTGATTAAAACTGGAAAGTATTCCAGAAATACTGCAGTTTGTTTTTTAGCAAAATGCCACACATCTGTCTATGATGAGTTAAACAAGTTATTTGCTTTGAAGAAAATACTGTCAAAAAACAATGTTGTGCAGAGCTAAACTCGTACATATCTGCTATAGCATATATAGCACATATAGTTTACCACAAAAAACTACCTTTACTCAGTCTGAAGTTAAGTTATTTATTTATTGACCCTTTAGGCATTCTTACCAACTGACCTCATTTTTATTTTCAAGGAAATACGCACCCATTTAAGACAAAAGAGTCACTGTTTGTGGTTCAGGTTTTTTCATGTGACATACACTGATATTTCTAGTTAAATTTAAAAGAGAACAGAATAACCAGGATGTTGGAAGGAAAAATACAGTGAAGAAATCCTTACTCCTCCATTTGCCAATGGTAATTTTTTATACTTTAACTGAGGTTTTAAGAGATATACCATAATTCTTTTTAACCAGTGGCCAACTCATAGACAGATATATGGCAGCATTTATCTTTCTGTACGATACAGTCACAAGATAATTAATAATCGAGGCTCAGAGGCACATGCCAGGTCTTGTTTTATTTTATACTGCAAGGGAATTATGTGTCACTCATCTAAATCCAGACCAAATATTTCATTTTCCAAATGAAATGACACTTCATCATTGTGCTGGAGAGAGTTATATAAAAAAGCTGCTGTGAGAGTTTCTTCATCTTTTTTTGTCATGACATTGATGAGTGAAGTAACATGTTCAAGGCCTTCTTTGCTGAATCCTGGTGACCTTTGTCTGAAAGGGATCCCACTTGTGACTTTCCCGTTGAATGAAACATTTTTTTTTCTGTAATCTGTTTAGCTCTCTTAAAAAAAGAGTGAGGACTGCAGTTACATTTCTGCTAAATAGTGATATTGGTACGGCCAAACAATGGAGTACATAAGCTTTTCTTGGTGAGAAATACTCTTATATACTGTAAGTTGTGTATATAATATACTTGTGTGTGATCCTTTTTTTAATCTCTCTTCTTACATTTTAATTTTCCTTTAATTTAGTATGATGTCATCTGATTTTGAGGATACATTGATGATACAGTGTCACATAATTACCCAACAGGAGCCAGCTTGCAGGTGTAAACTGTATCATAACCAAAATGTCTGGACCTGGACAAATGGGAACCTACGCAGATGTATACTACAGTAGTTTTTGTGGATCGTACACTTGTAGAGCACACGTATAATTCCCGGAGTATCACTGATGTTTATGGAACGCAGAGCCAGTTACTTGTACTCAGTCCCTTGTCTTACTATCATTGAAATTGCGTACTGTTTGAATAATGCAGGCTCCTTTTCAACTGCCATGGTAACAAGACATTACAGTGTCTCACATCTGGGAGCTAGAACAAAATAATATTACAATGTCATTTTCTCTCTTTGTTCTTGAGATACAAACCTCAAAGATAAAGCATGAAGTCTCAGCACAAGTTAACGTGAAAAGGATCAGTATTTGAATTAATTAGGTCCAAATCAGTTTTAGAACATTGTTCTCTGGGGTCAAGTCGTTTTTTCCTGTATTCCATGTATGTTTAAGACTACTCTCTCTCTCTCTCTTTTTTTTTTTTTACCACAAAGTAGTTTCAGCCCATCAAAAATGAAATAGTTATCTGTATGTATATGGTGTTTCTCTATATATGATCAATTTTGTTTTATATATGGTTCTTAGATTGCATTCTTGCATTGGGCAGTCTTAGGTTTTGTCAGTCTCTCTCACTCTCTCTTTCCCACTCTCTCTCTCTCTTTGTAAAGTTATTAATTGACCAGGTTTAAGGACATGAACAGGAACACTTGCCCATGTTCCTTTTCACTCATTGGATGCTGCCAGTTTCCATGGCCACCTCTGTTTTGCACTTCTGCTCTGTCAAAATAGTAGGTCATGCAGGCACGGCAGTCGACTGCACACGACTCACGGTGACAAGGAAAAGAGCTACGTTGTTTTCTGTTGTAGTGAATTTGTTGTTTTTTTTTTTTAACAAGAACGATATTAGCGAAACAATTCTACGTCACTCACACCGCTGAAACAAGGCCAGTGTGACTGCATCGCTGTTCTCAATTCAATACATATCAGTACTTTGAGTGTTGGAGTTTGAGCAACTGGTGAGAGGTAGCTCTAAATCAACCTGTGCAGCAGTCAGTGTTAAAGAGCAAGGATCAGTAATGTGGACACAAACTTATCACTTCTCAGTGTTACAGCCTATTAACTCAGCAGTCGGATGCACTCACTGAGCGCCTGCAACTGATTTACAGCTGGAAGTGTCGCCTTGTCTCCTTAAAACAAAGTTTTTTTTGTTTATATATATATATATATATATATATATATATATATCTTTATTGCTTCTACCCAAAGGTATTTCCAATGAAGTCGATGTATTCCTAATTATGAGGTGAAGAAATGTTTTGACAGAAGCACTATCAGTACTTTTGCAGTGAGCCTGCTGACGGTTGGTACTGTTAATCTTTATGGCCTGTAACACCATAAAACAAGACCTGCATAGTTGTGAACCTATGTCACAGCTGCATTTACACAGCGGTCACCAGTTCAGCAAATACTTTCCACTTATGACGCTATTTAATTTGAGAAATGCCTGGAGGAAGACAGGAAGCCTAAATACCCAGCCACATTTTGTTGTGTTACAGATACTACTGCACTGAACTTATAAACTTATAAAGCCTATCTAATCTATTCTGTTTATAAACTTGCCAGCAGCACAAATTTCAAAATTCTCCATGTTTAATTATTGTGAAATTGCTCAGTACTACAGCAGGACTATTTTAATTATGTTTTTCAGTAAAATGCTTTGTCCTTGGTAAATCATCATGTTTTTTTCATTCACAATTTGTAGCTACATTCTAGTTATCCATATCTGTCCATACTGAGCTCACTCTATGACCGTGTGTGCTGAAGAGCAACATTTAATACAGTATTTATCAGGCATTCCCATTACTGTGCTGTGCAGATAAACACAAATCCAACATGTGGGTTTCACACGACAGATTTCACTTGAACGACCTTGATTTGAAAGGAAACTGAGCTCGCCCTTGTAGGCATTAAATATTAAATATTGAGCAGCAGCACAGGCTGACGATGGAGCACCGGAGTGACTCCTTCCAGAAATATGTGTCCACGGGTCCGAAGTCTGCCACAGCAAAGGGAAATTGATAGTCAATGCTGCAAAGAAAACAAAGGATGCACATGTCTGACAGAGTGAAAAATACAGTGGCAACAATACAAGGAAAGCTACGACAGATGGAATGTCAGAGGCAGTTGCATTGTTTTATTACAGGACACATGTCTGTGAATCATATTGACTCAGCAAGGTCACACAGCAGAGCCTGAAAAAGTACCACCATCGGTCCATAGTCCGTATCTCTGTTTTTTTGTAGCAAAGCAGGATAAAACATGCAACAATCCGCTTTGCACGGCTGCCGTAACCTTTGGCCCCTGGGAAAGGTCAGAATGGGAGATCAGAGGTGGTCCATCTGCACAGCCGGCCGAGTGAGTCTGCATGTGTTAGACAGGCACAATAAAGCAGTCTTTTCAGAAACTCACAGCCCCCATCCATGAGAGAGAGAGAGAGAGAGAGAGAGGGGGGAAATCAACACCACCATTGATCATGACTACAGCATGTGTGTGACAAATAAATTCTAAAAAAAGCGCACAAACACACTGTTCCTCCTGCATTAACTCTCGCGAAAGCGCACGCAGACGTACATGCAAATGCGTCTGCCACAGAGCGCCGGTGAACAGTCTCACACAAGGTGTGTTTATGTAAACACAGAGCGTGCAGAGGGCAGTTTGAATTTGAATTGCAATGAAGCAGCCTGAAGGTCTCAGCTGCAAGTGCAGCAGAGAGCCACAGCCACTTCTTTGTGGGTGTGGCTCTCGACGTTTTAGAGTTCAGGATATGAGCTGATAGATGTTGCTGATGTAGATAATGATTTTTGAAAATATAACTTTAATCCTGATTTTGTTAGCATATATAAATTTTGGGTTTTTGGCTTCCTGTGTTAATTTTTTTTCTCAGTGGTTTCTAACACTTCTAGCTGTTATTCTGTTTTATGACTTTCACATATTTGTTATTCTATATTCTAAATGTGCTTCTTAAATTTAGAACTTATTATTACTTTGGATTAAGTGACAGAAAGTCTCTAATTAGATAATTATACAATGTTACATATATAGGAATGACTGCCTTCTGTGGCTAAAATAAACTAATTCATTGTTGTTGTTGTTGTTTTTTCTTTTGCAGTGCCACTGTTTAACAGACGGGGCTATGACAGAGGCCTTCTACGTCCACTCATTCACAGGTATTGCCCTTAAATATCCACTGAATTTTAATCATAACATTGTTAAGTTTTACAATTACAAATCACTGCATCCTTCTCACTGTGACACGAAAAACCAAGAAATATTGAAATATAAATTAACC